TCTTAATACTAATGTATAAAAATTGAATATTAAATTGCTAAAATTCTACTAATTCAATAATCATTCTTTTAAAAAAAAGAGAATTAATTTATATTATTATTAAATATTTGTTATATACATTTTTTTATAATTATGATAAAATCTTCGTTTGATCTTTAATATAATATCATAAATTTTATTATAGTATATTACTAATACGATAAACTGATAATAAAAATCTCTTATATTATCAATGCTAAATATTATTATGTAATCTTACGTAAATATACAAAACTTTGAGTATAGTGATAATAGAATACAATTTTAAAAAATTGATAATATTTACAATAAATATCAAAGATATTACTGATGTTAAATTATTGAATCATCTAATAATAAATATTTATATATATTTATTAATTAAATTTTTTTATGTGTAAAATAATCATTGAATAATAAATTAAATGCATCATATATTTATCATTCTTGTCTTAAAGGAAATATGATCTCTAAATGCTTTTTGCATTTTCTATTTTTAATTACCATTTTTATCTGTAAGATCCATAAGAATAAGTAATTTTATAAGTAAAGTGATATTGATATAATGATAATAAACTAATTTTTAGTTAATTTTTTAATTTAACCTAAAAATATAATGTTAAAATATTAATTATTTAATATATATCGTAAAAAGAATGAAAAGTTTTTTAAGGGTCCATCTCTTGAAATTTCACTAAAACTTAGGAAATATAATTTTTCACTAATACTAATAAAATTAACAAACCTATTATATTATAATTTAATATAAATATCTATTCTTTTAAGATAATATTTTTATCTTATTTTACATTTTTTTAACAATATAGAAATGTAAAATTTACTAATTGTAAAAGATCTTTAAACTTTATTACTTATAAAAAATATATATATAATATAAACTTTCAAAATAAATTACATATATTATAATATAAACAAATAATTAAAAATGACTTTTATTATTTATAATAAATTGCATGTCTCATTTTTCGTCATTGATTATTAATATAAATTTAAATAAATTTTATTAATAATTGCAGATTATAAGACATATCCTATAACTGTTAATTATAGAACTTACATATCAAAAATATCTTACAGAAAATACATTAAAAATATATCTTTATCTTGATATAGAAAAGCAACTTTGTCACCTATATTATTATAAAATAATAAAACTATATCACAAAAATGAATAATATAAGTGAAAGAAAGTATTAAAAAGCTGAGTATACTATAGTAAAAAAATTGCATATGAAAATATAAAATCTAATTTAATTGAAGAAGTTAGAATAAAAGATAATGTAATTGATATTGACTATAAATATATTACAAAACTCTCTTATTAATATCTAACTTTTATTTAATTTTATTTTTATCCATTTAGCTTTAATAAATAATTCTACATTTACATTAATTATAAAAATATTAACAAATGTATTGCATCTGCTAATTTGAAATTAGATCTAATACAATTTTAATTCATAATTGAAAAAGCTAATCCTAAACTAATAGGATTCTTTTCTTCAATAGTAAATGTAATTATTCCTAAGAATTAATTAGTATATAATAAATAATAAGCAAAAAAATCTGTTGTTACTTTCTGTTATATGATTGCTAGTATATGTAACAAATTTGTTAACTAATTCAAGATAGAGGTTGAGTTGTATTTGGTAGCATCAGTTGCTATATATGAATTAATTAATACATTATCAAATCTTGAATATTTAGCATATGTTAAAATAGTTACAAACTTTCAAAAAAAATTCAAACAAATCATACAATTAAAATTGACTATTATTTTTTTTAAAAAAGTAAGTTTTTAATTTGTTTTATTAATGTATATTATAATATTAAAAATTTTTTATAATAAGAAGATCGCTTACATATTTATAATTTGGATTACTATTATAATATTTATGAAAAGCGAAGGCCAGATACAATATCAACATTAATAACAAATTATTTTGTTACTTGTATGGCAAAATTCATTATAAAATGTTTTACAATACTAATAATATTTAATGGAATTTTTATTCACAATTTAAATAATATTGAAGCATTAAGAATTTGTTAGTATTTGTTTAATAAATATACTGAAATTTTTGATATCATATATACAGAGTATCAGGCATTTTAGATCTTACAAAGATATAGAAATGTTAATGCTTTTGATTATATTAAACTTTTAATAGTTCATAGTTATAATGATTTTATTGTAAAAAAAATGAAAAATTAATAAGTTAATTTCAATTAGTTAGTTTTAATAAGCAACTATAGATGCCTGCCGAAACCTTCTCAAAATAATTTCGTCATACCCTTTTCTATATTTTTAATATAGTTTTGATAATTTCAGCTTTTGTCGTATCAAAAGGGTTTTGTCGTATCCCTTATTATAATTTTAATATAGTTTTGTCTAAGTTTTGACTGTTATTAAGGGGTTTCGTCCCTCATTATTATAAGCAATACTTATATTTTAATGCAAAGTTATTTAAATGCATTACAAATAATTTTAGCTATAAATAAAAAAATAAAACATTTGAAAAATCAAATTGCTCTAATTGTTGCAGATTGGTCTAGATAACTATTTATCAGAATAGCATTAGCATATTTGCATACATTAAGATTACAATCTATTATTTTAAAAGAAATTGAATTATTTATACCAATTTTAGAATCACTTCACTTTTTATTTAATAGTAGGAAATATATTATAATAATATATCATTTCTTTTTTGAATAAATGTTTCATTTTATATTTAGTAAATATAAAAAAACTTAAGCTATAGAGAATTAATCTTCTTTTAGAACTTGTATGAAATAGTTGAATTAAAATTAAAAATAAAATCATGAAAAAATTTGATTTAGTATGTAAAGATGTTGAATATTAAGCAACAATTGATTTGTTAAATAATTTGATTTTAGCAATATTTGATATTTATGCAATTTTATTTCGATCTAGTTCATTTAAAGAATATATAGAAAGTGTATTTTATATTTAGATATTTGCTTTACGTTAAAAGAGAAAGAATTATAATAAAGCCTCTCTTATATTTTTATCAGATATATTTTATTAGATAGATAATTATCATTATTGCTAATGCAATTAAGAATTACTTACCATGTTTTAATGATTATTGTATTGAAAATATTCATAGTAGAATAAAAGTATATACATCTTTAAATGCAACTGTTAAAAATATAATAAAACAGATATATGTTTTTGATATATATTTATTAATTTGTATTTTATTGAAAATTTAATATTATTTTTATTTTTAATATTAATATAAATAGCAGATTATAATCCTATTTTTAAAGATATATATTACAAAATCTGCTATTATTCATATAATATATCTACACTTAATTTTTTATTTGATAAAATTAGTATTTTCCTACTAAATTATTTTTGTAGTATATTTCATAACAAAAATAATAGTATTCCAATATATAATACTGAAAAAAAATTTAAAAGGATACAAACTAGTAATTTTAGAAAGAAATAGATTTACGTTACTTTTTAACAGTATACAGTACATTGCATCTATTAAAATCAGGATTATATGATAATTTTGGGATCTAATTAAATAATAATAGTATAGCATTAGCTTGTGATTATAGTTATTATCCAGTTTATTATGGTAAAAGTTATATTTATTTGAAAATTATTATAAGAATGGTATTTTAAAAATGTAAATTCATTTTTAAAAAGTATTGAAAAAAAAAAAGATATAATTACAAAAGATGACTTAGATGATGAAAACAATGAAAAGGAAGAGAAAGAATCAGAAGAACTAATAAATGAACAAATAAATATATTTACCACACTAGCAGCAGTAATTGATAATATAAATCATGATAATAATTATATAACAATTTTCTCATCTAATAAACTTTATACTTAATATAATAATATAAAATTAAAAATTAAATTATGTTAATAATTATATCGTAAATAAAATTATTAAATAAAAAAATAATAACAATAACTTACCTGTTTACTTTAAGAAATTGTAAAAATTTACAATACAATAATGGTTAATCAAAACTCTTTTCTAAGTAAATTATTATAAATTAAGAGATCCTAGAGATCATAATACATATTATGATAAAGAAGCAACAGAAATATGTTTCTGTAAAATTTTATATATAACGCATTGTGATTTATATATAAATGCTATTGTATATACTATATAAATAATTTGTATAACTAATAATCATTTAAGAAATTTTGTCATGCTATTTATAACTGTTTGCACTATATTATGAAGAAAAAATAAACTTTACAGAAACAAAAAAATGAAAATGAAAGTGAAAGTTATTTTTTATTTAATTCATTTAATGAGCTCTTGAGAGTTCTTCTGTTACTTTATAATAATAGTTTGTAAGTGAATCTGTAAACTTAAACTCAGTTCTAAATACTTATCTTCTTTGGCATGTAAGTTCAAAAAGAAATATGTAAAAATATTGAGAGTAAGCTTTCAATCAGCTTCTGAAAATGATGTAATATTTAATATTAAAGGTACAAATTACATGTCTTAAAATTTCTCTTTATTAATCTAATACTAATAATTAAATATCTAGTCATCAACCTTTTAAATGAATACTTTCTTTCTGAAATCGACTGCAATACAATTGAAAGTAGTGATTTTAATGTTAATAATTTTGATAAAATTTCAAATCTCATCAAATCATTCCTTTTCTTATTGCACGAAGTTATTAAAAACTTGTATCTTGATGTAGAAATAAATGATTTTAAAACTGACACGTTGATAATCAATATTTTAAATCATGCTATCAACATGAGTTTTTATCCCTTTTTATTTAAGTAAGTATTAATAGAATATCTTGTTTATATACTTATTTCTTAAGTCAATATTGCATACAAATCTAGATCTAAATCACGTTATAAACTACACATTAATAATATTTTTATTATAGCAATATTAGACTATATAGTTAATATGAAAAAAATAGTTTTTATGACTGTAGAGGTCTGTTTGTTTACTGTTTGACTAGCTCATATTTTTGTTAACTAAATATCTTTTTTAGAATAAACATCTAAAAAATGTTAGACAAACTAGTTATCTTACTAATTGTAGGAAATTACAAATTGCTGTAGAAATTCTTGCTTGTGCATGTGAGAATTTCATTAATGAACTTTTTGAAGACAAGGAACTTAAAGATCAAATCATATATATTGTTCATATAATTTTTACATATATTACATTTTATAAAGCAATAATTAGTTCAAAATATTTATATTATATTGGACTAGGTCTAACACAAGAACAATCAGTTGTGATTCAAAGATAGCTGAGAAAGAACAGTTTGAAAAATGGAATTGACCTCACAAAACTGGAAGGAAAAAAAATCAGTATTAACAGCATTAGCAAAACTTCATCAAAAATTTTTACAATAGTTATTGAAGTATGTTATTCAGAATCACTTTGTAATTTCTTTATATGCTTCAAGACATAAATGAAGTTAGGAAAAATCCTGAAGTAAAATTATTTTAAGCTTATATGATTATTTAAGATTATCTTTCAGCTTATTTTCGTAAAAATTTATCTACTATAAAAAAAATCCTAATATATGAGATACTGTAATAGACTGTAAGTTCTGAAGCATAAAATAATATGATTTTTGTAAGAATTTCTTTATATAAGCATATATTTAATCGAATAATATTAACTATCTGTTATCGATTTGTCTTTCAACTAAAAAATATTTAGAAATTGACTTTCATTGCTAATCGTTGAGGTGTAATCAATAATAAGCAAAAGGGGTTACCGTTTTGCAAATGCATATCGATATCAATGATTATAATTCGAAAGTATTACGTTCAGGTTAACCTTTATGTGATCTTAAAATTCGATTATTGGATTAGCAATCTTAATCAACGATCGGTAATGAAATTGATGAAGAATTCAATATCTCTATAGCCGAACTTGTATGAAATAAAAGTTTACACTTGTGAAAAAAACTATGATCAAGACCCATATGTAATCATTTCGTATATTCATACTGTTTTGGAAGACAAAACGAAGCTGAGAAATGGAATGCATTCTTGTATTACATGCTTGATGTTATAAAAACTCCCACGTGTATCAATTATTATGATGTTTTTCTCTAGCTTCAAGGCATTTGATTGAGAATGTGGAATTTCCGAAATTTTCAGCATATAATGAGGCTATGCATTTGTGCTTGTAGATAGATCTTGCCAATCCAGTTGAATTCAGGCTGATAAATACTTGATAATTTCCGCAATTTCCGAATATCATTGACCGATCTTTGTGATGCAATCATGCTTACGTGAGTTCTGAATGGATGAAGAATTCGATTTTTAAACCACGGATGTAGTTGTGAGATAGATAAGTAAAGTTAGTTTTGGTTCGATAATCTCCTTGATTTCATACATCAATGCTAATCAAACTTGTCTTTCCAAGTATTCCACTTGGGGTTTGTAGCAAGGCAAAAAAATACGGCATGGTCGTGACATTAATATTTCCTTCTCGAACTTTCCCATTGATGAACGATTCCGAGATCACGTGATGTATATTGCTAGAATACTTAATCTATAGTAATGACAGAAGTTTTTATATCATTGAAAATAATAAAGTTTTCGTGTATGCTATATTATATAAATCGGTTTTTGTGAAATAAACAAAGGGTACCACCAAAGGTTTTCATCCCACGTGATTTTTTGGCCGGGTACGATTCAATTATTGATTAATACCCAGGTACATTTTATGATTGAATAATACCTAGCATGTACGGTAATCAAATCCAAGTTTATTGAAATTCAAAAAAGGAAAAATTGCTTCGGACCGACAAATTTATTTTTTTTTTTTTCATAGTAAGACAAATACGACCTAGGGTTAATTATAGATGTTATTAACTATAAGATCATTAAATAATCGATGGAAGAAATCTTATAAATAAATTAAAAAGTCAAAAATAATACTGGATAAACAAACCAATTCTTCTTTGCCGGTCACAAAAAAATTGATTTGCAAATATTAAGTATCGTCAAACATGAAATAAAATAACAAAGGAAAAGATTCCCTTTTCTGGATTAATAATGGGGAATAATGTGAACGAATGAATTTATTGGCAGGTTGACCACTCAAACAAAGATTCCCTTTTTGAATATAAGATAATAATCCACATTGCGACATTATTTATATTTGATGATTCGATCGACTATGAAGTTTCTTCTTATTCACGATACGACATTATTTTTGCTTCGTTAGCCGTAGAATGTAACAAACACCAATTTCGTAATTATTTTATATATATAAAGCATGAAACTTTTGACTGCAAACCTCATTTCTAAAATCATACCCTCTCATTCACACACTCCCACTTCCATTCACTCACTTGACGAGTTCACCTACTACCTTACCCACCATGAAAACCAGCGTAATCTCTTTCAACCCACGTAAACATTCATTTCACGCGGATTGGAACCTTGATCTCCATGGGTTTCTCACTCGTGACGAGTTGGACAAGCGGGTCAATGAAATTAATGATCGAATCCGTGACTGTCCTTTGTTGAATGTGAGATTAGCGAGAATTTGCATGTACATTTCAATCGTAATTACACTGTTTATCAGTATCGGGTTATTTAGCAAAAGTACATTTCTTGGTGGCACATTCTTCGTACTCTTTCTTGTCGGAGTTTTCGGGGGCGGATATTATATTGATCGTATAGCGAGCACTCGCGCAAAAATTTTTACTGATGCCGTGAGAAATTTGTTCGTTGAATATAACAATCGAGACAACCCAACCGCCAACTGGAGTATTGAGTGGTGCACCGCCATCACCAAATTCAAGGTAAAGAAGGGGTCGATCAAGCCGAGATATGCCGACTATGTCGTGATAGAGCTCGATATATCGGACGCACTATCTACCCTTACGGCCAATACCGTTTTCGTGAATCTTCCTGTTTCAAATTCAACCAAACAATTCGTTCCGCACATGGCTGGTCCTTACCAAGTATAAATAAATACCTTCATTCTTTTTGTAATCAACCAATTATATATATTTTATTTTTTATATAAATTATAAGTAAATAATGTACTCAATGTATTTGTATGAATATAATAAAGCAAAAGGGAAAATGGCCTCTAGCATTTGTTTTTTTTTTTTAAAAAAAAAGTATGAAATAAAATGACCAATGTGTAAAAGTGTCACTATGCACAATGTTTGTAGTTCCATATTGCTATCGGGCAGTTAAAGCTTTGTGATAATCAATCTTGCCTGATATTGATTAAATTTTTTTTTTATTTTCTGCAAATGCCATTGTAAAAATCAAAACCTTATTTTTACAAATGTGCATGAAAGTACAAAAAGTATTGACACGGAATACAAAAATTTACGTGAAGAGTGAATCACCTGCCTGATTTAGCCGTTGAAAGAAAAAAAATGCACGATTTTAAGTTCCTACATTTACTATGTTACATACAACATTTTATCTGTATGATTGTCAAACCGAAAACGGCTAAGATATTCTATTTTCAGTCATCGATACTGAATCTGGTTTATTTCTATTTTTATATCGTTTCGAGAAAATTTCAAGTTAATAAACTTGCATAATTTTCTTTTAAATCTTTCATCCCTTTTTCTTTTCTTTTTCCTTTTCTCATTAATTTTTTCCCCCTTTCGTTGAAATTTTTTAGATATAAACATGGAAATTTATAATTTGATGTCATATTACTTTAAAATACTTATAGTAAGTTTGTTATCTTTAAGTTTAGTAGAATTTGCTTCATGTCAAGAAGCTCCAAAAGCCCCAAAAGCTCCTACGAATTTGATAGTTGAAACTATTGGAACTATAACAAGTATGTTCTTTTTTCTTCTCTTAAGCCTAAAATATTTAATCATTTGTAAATATATGATTATCAATAAACATTCAAATGACATCAAGTACGTTGTTAAACTAATTTCGAACATCCTTTTATTACATAGAACAACCTTCCGTAACCGTACCAGAAAACCTTGCTGTACCAACGGGTCATTCATTCGCATTCTTACTTTACGCAAGAGGAGATCAATTATATCAATGTGTCGTCTCCGTTCCTGGACAAGCTTCATCTTCGCAATGGTTAAATGGTATGTGTTTATTTCATTTCTACATGTTTTTTTTTAACCTTTAATTGTGTTACTGACGTCACGTGTATTTCTTTGCCAATCGAACATATTACAGTTAACGTCGATTCCTATTTTATTAACGAATTAAAAGACCAACACTTCGATCCTGCTTTCCAAGTTGTACATCTTTACAATATAAACCCAGGTAAGCTCATTCTATATTCAACAAAAAGATGTTATGTTATGTGTTTTATTTTATGATGATGATAATGACGAAAAATTATTTCATTTTTATAGCGATGAATGGTGGAAATTATACTTGGGAAGCCTTACTTAAAAATGATACTACCAAATTAACTGCTAAATCCGTAAATACATCATCTCAAGGTGATGCAAACTTACCTTGGGAATTATATGCTGCTACGGTAAGTGTATGAGATTTGGTACTTTTATTTTCCGTATAATCGTTATTTATTGTTTATTATTCTTATCATTTTAAAGCAAAGGGATGAAGGTGGTAGATTTAGCACTATATCTTATGTCCTTAGGTTAAATACAAATGGTGGAGTTGCTCCTCCTAAGAATGAATGTAAATAATTTATGGTTTATCTTTTATCATTTGTTTCCTCCTTGCGATCTTTAATTAATTTTTATTCTTTATCGTCTAGGTGGAGTTCAATATACTGACAAATCAACGAAAACAACTACATATGAGGCTGAATATTGGTTTTATGAAGGTCCTTTGCCCGGTACCGAACAGAATAATGCTCAAAATAAAACTACATCTGACGCTTCAAGTTCATTACGTAATAAAACTCCGTTATCTTCAATGTCAATTGGACCTGGTCAATTAGGTTGGATTGCCATTGTTGGTTTTGTTTCTGTTGGTACTTTATTCTTTTAAAGTGTAAATTGAAAATCTTTGATTATAAAACAAAGGTCCTTTATTAGTAGTCTGTATAATATACTTTTGTTGAGAAGAGATGTTAAAATAATTTAATAATCTTGAGAAGAGATGTTAAGATAATTTAATAATTTATGTTGAAATGTTTTTAAAGATCAGATATTTATGTAGTTTTTTTGTCCTTTTAATTTAATAAAAATGAAGTTAGCTTAAAAAAAAAAAATGTTTTGGTTATTTAACTATTCAACCCAATAATAGTCCATAAATTAGTTTAAAACCGATTTAAAGACTGGTTCAAAAGACCAATTGTTAAAATTAAAATTAAATTGGATTTTCGAAACACATTTGTACTAGTTATTTCACGGGAATCCATAGATATCATTACTTATCACGGCGTAGCCGTGATGATAATGAGATCGTGGATGATCCGTGAAATAACTATTTTATCTCAGGGAATTTCTAATTATAAGCTCAAATAAACTCAACCCATTTCACCGTGAAAAAATATCATTAAAAAAATCAACGGCGTTAATTAGGAAACCATGAGATAATTAGTTAATCTGTTAACCTTTTTATCTGAAATGTTCAGGGATCTAAATTTTAATCGTTATAAGGACTAATTATAAGAGACTAATCTATGTTTTTTTGCAGCCTTTCTTGACAGGTTTCATAATTCAAAACAATTACTCTGGAATCACCTTACGTGATCGTAAATTTCAAATTTGATTATTGGACTGCAGATCAACGACGGAAATGAAATTTTTTGAACTGAACTATCGAATTATCCGCATCACAGCCGTAGTTTAAAATTTTTTCCTGCAAATATAGTTCAAAATGTAAGATCCAGATTTTTCGTGATGCGATCATACTTGCTGATTCCTAGATTATACAGGTTAATATCGCTAAAAAAAGAAGGTAAGCTTTAATGTATACGAGGAAGTTTTCCTTGGATGATTATAATAATGAATTCATTTTTAGTTTGACCATCGCATCTGATGAGTTGGGCCTATTTTTTCATGGTAAGGTACCTTAATGATCAACAACTCGATTGGATTAAACAAAATTTGGTTAAAGTACATCAGAATTCTTTAATCCATGAAAAAATCTGCAGCAAGATCCTGCATTATTATTTAATCAAGACATTTTCATAAAATAGATAAGGACTTTTTTATTTGAATTAATTAAACGTGACGATTCAGTTTACCAGAGGCCGAAATATGACATAATGTAGTTTTAAATGGGATAGAACAAACACCTTGTATAATCGAATAAGATAAAAGTAAATGGAAAGAATTAGATTTAATGTAAAGAACGCATAAAGGATTTCATTCCACATATACCTTCGGATGAATATTTTACTAAAGTTCGTCCATTAAAACAAATATCAAACAATCGACGGTTGATCAGTTAGAAAAGTTTTATTTAATGAGAAATCTTGCCCTACCCTCTAACGAAAAACCCGTAGTTGAGAAGGGATC